TGGCGGTGGTGGCGGCGGCGGCGGCGGGGGCCTCATGGAAGAAATGAACGCCATGCTGGCCCGGAGGTGAGCTTGGACCCCAAGTTACCTGGAGAATCCAGTTCAGCAGGGCCAGGAGAAAGGAGACTCTGGGTCCCGTTTTGTTTTGTTGTTGTTTTTTGAGTGGGAGTCTCACTCTGTCCCCAGGCTAGAGTGCAGTGGCACACTCACAGCTACTGCAGTCTTGACCTGCTGGGGCTCAGGTGATCCTTGTGGCCCAGCCTTCCATGTAGCTGGAACGAGAGGCGCGTGCCACCACGCCTGGCTAATTTTTTAAATTTATTATAGAGATGGAGGTCTCCCCCATTTGCCCAGGCTGGTCTCGAACCTGTGGACTCAGGCAGTCCTCTCACCTTGGCCTCTCCAAGTGCTGGGATTATAGGCATGATCCATTGCACCCGGCCCCCCATTTTGTTTCTTTTGGTGAAAGTTCCCTCGGATCAGAAGCCAGGTTTGGGGTACAATGCTGGGGACCGTTATCTAAGTGGCTGAGGTTTCTAGAATTCCAGCATTCTAATAACAGGGCCCTTCCACCCTTAGAAATTTGATGATCAGATGGGGCATGGTGGCTCACATCTGTAATCCCAGCACTTTGGGAGGCTGAGGAGGGAGCATCACTTGGGGTTCAAGACCAGCCTGGGCAATATAGTGAGATCTTGTTGCTACAAAAAATAGAACGCATTAGCCGAGTGTGGTGACACGCACCTGTGGTTCCAGCTACTTGGAAGACTCAGTGGAAAGATCACCTGGGCCCAGCAGGTCCAGGCTGCAGTGACTCTAGCTCGGGCAATAGAGTGAGACCCCTCGACTCAAAAAAAAAAAAAAGAAAGAAAAGCGAGAATCGTAGGAGCTTCCGCCCTCATTCTAGAACGGCAATCTCTTTAACTTCCAAAACTAGAGGTTTCTTAGCCTCCTCGAATTCCAGAATTCTGTACCCTAGAATCCACATTTCCAGAAATCTGGGAAGGATTATTGTTGGGTGGCGGAGGGAGGAGGAAGCATCTATCTCTGCCTTTCTTCCTGCAGAAGGAAAGCCACGCAGGTTGGAGAGAAACCCCCCAAGGACGAATCTGCCAATGTAAGTCAGGGGTCCTTCTTACCCTACTCGTCTTGGGCTGTACCACGAAGATAGGGAAGTTGGGGGGGAGGGGTTGTGAGAGGCAGGGGCTGGCTCATGGCAGTTTTATTTCCCACCAGCAGGAGGAGCCAGAGGCCAGAGTCCCGGCCCAGAGTGGTGAGTGAGAGCCCAGTCTAGCCACAGGAACTACAAATCCCAGGATGCTGTGTTCCTTATATATCAGGCACCCTCAATGGAGTCTGTGCAAAGGATGCTGGGGATTGTAGTCTCCTGAGATGGGTCCTTGGCCGGGGGCTGATAAGGCTGGAGGGGAAAGACTGACTGGGGGCGGTCTTTTGTTCCTGGACTTTCTGATTTGTTGCCTGTCCCCCAGAATCTGTGCGGCGACCCTGGGAGAAGAATAGCACAACCTTGCCAAGGTGGGCCATTGATACCGGGACCTCTTCCTCAAATGGTTAGACTTGCCCAATTTATAGGGTGGAACACAGTGTGACCCCTGGAATGGGGGATGATGGGGGGACTCAGGTCCCCTCTCTAACCTCATTTCTGTCCCAAACCCCATCAACTCTCCCAGGATGAAGTCGTCGTCTTCGGTGACTACTTGCGAGCCGCATCCCTGTACGTCCAGCTCCAGTGATGACTCAGACCTGGAGAGGGTGAAACAGGTAGGTTTGGGGAAGAGTCCTGGGATGAGGTGAGGAGCTGGAAAGGGGCCACAGGAAGAGAGGAGGTCTGGGTCCAGACCCTGCTCTGGCATGCTGTGGGATTCCAGATAAGGTGGCAAGAACCTCAGTTCTCCATTCTTTGAAATGGAGAAATTGGATCAGGTCACAGAAGACCCGGGTACCACGCCCCCTCTTCCAGTGCCTGACAGACCTTATTAATCGGTCACTGTACTCAGTTCTGATGAGGACCATGAATCCTTTCAGCACAGTGACCCAGCCATCCATCCATCCCAGAGTTGGCCCGAGACTGGAACGCATTTGCCAACCCGGGTACTGGAAGTTCTCCAGCACTTTTCTTCTGGCTCCACGGATCTAGAATTCTCCCCTAGAATCTTCCAGTCATTCTGCGACCTTGGCAGCTATGTCATGGAGTGGGGGTAGGGGTGGGTCTCAAACCTTCCTCTGGCTCTTCAGTCAACAAGAAAGGGGAGATTCGTTTTTGCCAGCCTAGGTACTCCCTCTTGATTGGTTGTACCCCTTTTTTTTCCAGGAGCTTCTGGAAGAGGTGAGAAAGGAATTGCAGAAGGTGAAGGAGGAAATCATTGAAGGTAAGGTGGTTTTCCTTTGTTCTTTACTTACTTTGGAGCCCTGTGTCCCTCAGAAAGAGCCCTGTTTTGGGAGGGAAGAGGGAAGAGGGAAGTGGCCCTGACCTCTGCCCCTTGTTTCCTTCCAGCCTTTGTCCAGGAGCTGAGGAAGCGGGGCTCTCCCTGACCACAAGGAAGGACCCCCAGAAGACCCGTCTCCCCTCTGCACACCCCGCCTGTCACCCTGCTTTCCCTGCCTCGACTTGACTTGGAATTGGCTAAGACTACACAGGAATGCATTCCCCACTCCCCATCCCACTTGGAGAGTTCCAAGGGGTGTGGCTTCCCTGGGGCCCCGCCCACACCCATACTGGCTGCTGATTGGCTGGGGAGGCCCCGCCCCTTCCTCCCTGTGGTCCTTCCCCTCTGCCATCCCCTTGGGGCTGGTTCCTCTGCTGGGGATGCGTCGTTAACCCCACAGTGCGGGGAAGGAGGGAGGGAATTTCACATTCCCTTGTTCTAGATTCACTTTAACGCTTAATGCCTTCGAATTTTTTTTTTAAGAAGAAAAAATATATATATATTTGGGTTTTGGGGGGAAAGGGAAATTTTTTTTCTCTTTGGTTTTGATAAAACGGGGTGTGGGAATTTTTAAATGTTATCGCCCCAGGCTTGCCCCATTTGGGGCAGCTAATTAAGGGGAGGGGTGTCCCACCAGACTGAGGGTACCTCCCCAGCCCCAGGGACTCCCCTTCCCTCTGGCTCCTTCCCCTTTTCTATGAGGAATTAAGATGCTGTAATTTTTTGGAACCTCAGTTCTTTTTGGTTTTTTATTTGGGTAGGTTTTGGGGTCCAGGCCATTTTTTTACCCCCTAGAGAAAATAATAAGATAAGGGAGAAAGGAAAAGGGGAGAAAACCTCCCCTCTCCCGCCTTCGCCTTGTAGCTTCTCGAAAATGGGCTCCTGCGGAATAAATCTGCCAGTTTTTATAAACGCTAAGATCTCTGGAGTGATATAAGGGCGGTTCTGATGAGGATGGAGGAGTACCCCACCCTTGAGGCCCCTTCCTGAGACCCCCCACCCTCCCCCAGGAATCCCCCTTCCTCACCTTCCTACCCTGCACTTTTCGGCAGGCTCTAGGTCCCTCAGACCCCTGCAACCAGGATGCCCTTGGCCCCTCCTTGTCCCCTTCCCCAACCCCCTTCTACCACAGTCTCCCTCACTCCACCCAGTCCTGCCCTTCGCCCCCCAGCTCTTGCTGACCTTCAGTCCTACCCTTCGGGCAAGGCTGTTTGCTTATCCTGGGCCTCAGTTTCTCCATTTGGGAAAGGGCTCGTAGGACGACTCTTTGCCCCCTCTCCACCAGAACTGTTTTTCATCATTTTAATGACACTTTACCCATCTTACAGACGCACACCATGCTTCTCAGACACATTCTTAAGATAACTTCACCCCAGTGCTCCTTTAATTATAAAACATGGACAGTCTTTTTAAAAGGCAGCCCTCAGAAGCCTCAGAGCTCATACACACCCCCTTCAGAAGTTGGGGGGGGCGGGTAATACAACTTGTGGAGCACTCCGTTGGGAGGGGGACATCAGGGCCGGTGGGCAGGTCATCTCACCGGAGGAGGCCTTTGCCTGAAGGAGGGGGCCGGGCAGCAGTCCAAAGGCTGGAGTGATGGGAGATCCCTGAGGATGGAGCAGATTGGGATGGAAGCTGGGGTGGGGGTGGGGGTGTGGCTTTGACCCATTAGCAGAGGGACAGGCCGGTCCGATGAGAGTACAGGAGAGGACTTGGGAGAGGACCGTGGGAAGAGGCAGTAGTAGGTCCAGGACCTGTGGCAGGTGAGCCGGGGATGGAGACGAAAGCCAGGGAGGGTTTCCTCCTCAAAGGGCCGGCCACGTGCTGCTGAGACGCCGCGGAGGTAGGTCTGGGGGCCCGTGCCCGGGAAGACTGGCACGGCGGTGCCCGCGGGTTGCGCCAGAGACCCAGAGAAGAGGGGGCGGGGACGGTCCCGGCAGAAGGCACTGGCGGGGGGAGGCCCCCGGGGGCACGGGGG